AATTTCTTTGTGATCGCTGTTTGCAAGTTCGTTCCCTACCTCAACATTACTAATGAGGTTTTCTCTGTTCGACAGAACTAAATCGAGTATATTATTACCCTGGGTAATCAGTTATATGTTGACTTAGGAAACAGTCCTGGATCGTTTCAAGAAAATCCTCTGATTCTGAGTTACCCGTAAGGTCAATCCAATCTATTTGGCTAAAGTTAAAGTCGCCTACTATACAGACTTTGTTGTGTGTGGAAGCCCTGCGCATTTCATCCTAAATAAGTCGCTCATTAACTCTATCAAGATTGGGAAGTCTATTTATTACTCCTGTGATTAATTTTCCCTACATTCGATTAATTCTATCCAAATTGTTTCTGTATTCCGCTCAGTTTTTATTTCCTTATTTATTTCACACTTCAGATTATCCCTGACATAGATTGCTATTCCTTTCCTAATCTGCCTATAGGTATGGAATAATTTGTAACCTGCAATTTGGTATTCGACAGGTAACTCACGTGAGTCTAGGTTGATCCATGTTTCCTTAAATTTAGGCCTAAAAGATCCTTATTGGAAGGCCATAATTTTGATAATCAGTTATTGATTAATCTCCATGGAAAGATTTGCAAATAACCATGTGTAATGCAATGTGTCTTATTTTTATCTTTAGTTAACTAGTTTTTTATAATTTATTGTGGATTTTTTTCAATATTTGAGACATTTAATAATTTTGTTGATACATTTTACTTTCAGTACTTGTGTACTTTATGAATGAGATACTTTTACTTCAACTTGAGTAACATTTTGCCAATGTAACACTGCATTTACTTAAGTAGGTAGTAGGTAGGTAGTAGGCAGTTACCAAACAGGGAGGTACTACCGCCTGGGAAGACATTGGAAGCATAATGTGTTGTCTAATGGTAGACCCTGCTGCCATATGGCATCACGAAAATTGTGACCAAGTCCCAGGTTCAGCGCTGACCTGACTTTCTGCCTCATTTACACACAATTGCTGGGTCTCAATTGTTTCTCTTCCTTTGACAACACAACATACTGTACAGTACATACAGTGTATATTGTTTCTCACTTTTGATCTTTTTTTTTATTTGCTTATGGTTCTTTATTATTATTATTATTAGTATTAGTAGTAGTAGTAGTAGTAGTAGTAGTAGCCTGGATGAGATGTCGACTGTCCTTCTCTCTCCTTCGGTCGGCTTTGCTCTGCCTCAGGGGAACGAGAGCTTCTGCCCCTACTCCGACAACTGCTGCAGATATTGACTATGAGGCTACAGTCACTGAATGCCGCATAGATCTGCGGCTCAACTAATTTAACACAGATAGGATAGCTTCTTATGTATTAGGATATTTAATATTAAGGTAAATAAATGGTGGCGAAGGTGTGGCTATTGGGGGAGGCTGGAGGCCACGTTAAAAAAAAAAAAAAAGTAGTAGTAGTAGTAGTAGTAGTAGTAGTAGTAGTAGTTGTGTTTTATTATATTTTTTAATTTTTTTTTTTACTATGAATTATTATTATTATTATTATCATCATCATCATCATCATCATCATCATCATCATCATCATCATCATCATCATCATCATCATCATCATCATATCATCATCATCATCATCATCATCATCATCATCATCATCATCATCATCATCATCATCATCATCATCATCATCATCATCATTATTATTATTATAATTATTATTATTATTATTATTATTACTACTACTACTACTTTTTTTAAATATACAATGGCCTCCATCCTCCCCTTATAGCCATACCTTCGCCACCGTTTTATAACCTTAATATTAAATATCCTAATACATAAGTAGCTATCCTAGCTGTGTTGAGTTAGTTGAGCCGCAGATCTATGCGGCATTCAGTGACTGTAGCCTCATAGTCAATATCTGCACCTGATGTCGGCTTTGGGGCCGATGCTCTCATTCCCCTGAGGCAGAGCAAAGCTGATCGAAGGAGAGAGGACAGTCGACATCTCATCCAGGCTGTAACATAACTTCTGGTCTGCTGCTTCTGTTCGGATAGCACCTCCGCGAGTCTGGCGTAGAAGCATCTTGCACTTGGTCCCATCCCACCAGAGGTTGTGAACACTGGAGGAGTGAAGCTGCCTTGATCATCGTTCTGAATTCTCTCCATGTATGCCCTTATCTTGTAGTTCTCGTTCCTCCTGTGTGCAGCATCGAGAGCTAAGTTACAGTGACATGCGGCCATGGGATAAAAAATCCTGATGTCGAAGAAGGCTCGCTGTCCCCGCGTCCAGAATCCTCGAGCACTGACGTCAACACGGGCTTCGTTGCGTGTGTTTGAATTCCTATTTTGGAAATTCTCACCGTCCAATGGATGGAGAGTCGGTTTTACCCTGACATCACGGCAGATTTCCTTCAACATATTTGCTGTGAGATGCCTTACTTTGTCATGCCTCATGCATATGAAGCCCCCTTTCTTGCACACCATAGCATGATCGACGTCATAGGAAAAGCCACACACGCATTGGGAGGGCAAACCTTCTACTGGCCTACCGTACCTTAGAGCATTGGCATCTGTAAATTCTTGTTTATTGAAACTGAAACCATTTGCCCTTATTGGTAACGTAGTTAACCAGTTCGAGGCGCCCTTCAATTTATTCCACTTAGGTTATTTTTAAGTTTCCACACCAGTCACTGTTATTACTACTGTACTACTACTACTACTTTTTTTTAAATGGCCTCCAGCCTCCCCCAATAGCCATACCTTCGCCACCGTTTTATAACCTTAATATTAAATATCCTAATACATAAGTAGCTATCCTAGCTGTGTTGAGTTAGTTGAGCCGCAGATCTATGCGGCATTCAGTGACTGTTGCCTCATAGTCAATATCAGCAATTGTTGTCGGCTTTGGGGCTGATGCTCTCGTTCCCCTGAGGCAAAGCAATGCAGACCTAAGGAGAGAGAAGGACAGTCGACATCTCATCCAGGCTGTAACATAACTTCTGGGCTGCTGCTTCTGTTCGGATATCACCTCCGCGAGTCTGGCATAGAATCATCTTGCACTTGGTCCCATCCCATTGGAGGTTGTGAATACTAGAGGAGTGAAGCTGCCTTGATCAAAGCTTTGATTTCTCTCCCCGTATGCCCTTATCTTGTCGTTCTCGTTCCTCCTGTGTGCACCATCGAGAGCTAGGTTACGGTGACATGCGGCCATGGGATAAAAAATCCTGATGTCGAAGAAGGCTCGCTGTCCCCGCGTCCAGAATCCTCGAGCACTGACGTCAACACGGACTTCATTGGATGTGTTTGAAGTCCTATGTTGGAAAATTTCACCATCCAATGGAAGGAGGGTCGGTTCTACCCTGACATCATGACAGATTTCCTGCAACATATTTGCTGTGAGATGCCTTACTTCGTAATGCCTCATGCATATGAAGCCCCCTTTCTTGCACACCATGGCGTGATCGACGTCATAGGAAGAGCCACACACGCATTGGGAGGGTAAACCTTCTACTGGCCTACCTTACCTTAGAGCATTGGCGTCTGTGAATTCTTGTTTATTGAAACTGAAACCATTTGTCCTTATCGGTAACGTAGTTAACCAGTTCGAGTCGCCCACCTCCTGCACTACTACTACTACTACTACATTTTCGCCCCCCCAGGCCCCGATGTGGGTCAGTGACCTGTGCCCAGGTCGGCTAATACCTGTAAAAAAAAAGAAAAAAAAGTAATAAAGTCCGGTACTTTTTACAACTCTGGGGGGGGGGTGATGGTGCTAACCTCCGTAACCTCTTGCTTTATTTTGAGGCATCAACCACCCCGTTACTGGGTTGATATCGTTTATAATCACACCCTGTTACTGGGATGATTTCTTTTATAATCACACCCCCTACTAGATGAAATCTCATTGAACTAAGATATTTTTTTGCATTTGTGTCATATTGGCAGGATAATGCCATTTAAAAGTCACTTAGCTGCCTTGCTAGTCTTGCCCTTGTTGGCAACCTCGTTCGTCCAGTGTTGCTGCCTGGGAAAGGTCAATTGTTTATTTTCCCCTATTATTTTTTTCCGGTTTTCCTTGATTGGTTTTCATATATGTGTGCTCGCTTTAAAGTACAGTACCATATTCCTCACCACACTAGATCTTCCTATGAATGGTGGATCATGTGCACAATCACAGTCCTTAAGAAAAACATAATTTCTTTTTTTTTTGTGGCACCAATATTGTCTCTTTGTTACTTCCAGGCACTCTTACCTGCTGCTTCCTTCAATTTACTCCACTTAGGTTATTTTTAAGTTTCCACACCAGTCACTGTTATCACTATAGACTTTCTCAGTTGATGGTAGAGTAGAGTATCCAGTACTACACACGTTGATCGACCTATGGATAGTCAATCACAGCCATGGACATGCCTAATTTAAATTTTCTGTATAAATCTTGGCATATAGCATTGATTTTATGGTTGTAACCACACAGCTTAGCTCTAGTCAAGTAGAAAGAATATTTCAATCTTTATTAGTGAATAACAACAAAAATGCTACATCGATTTACACATTCACATCACCAAGACAATCTGGATGATCTTAGGAACTCACTGTCCAATTTCAGTCGCTCAATAACAATGACCCATGTATCAACACGTTTTATTTACAGAGACATGATCTGCATGACCCTACTTGTACAGTATTGGTAGAGTTGAGGAATTTTTTCATCAAACAAACTTTAGCTGATCTATGATTTGGAAATTTATATGGTCTGGCACTAGTCAGGTCCTGAGGGTGCTGTATATGTATCATTCTTAAATCATCTTCTAACCGTCAGCCTATTTCCCATGGTTTATTTAATTTTGTGTACAGTATAGTACTGTATATTCTAGGCCTATTATATCCAGAATTTGAAAATTCCTGAAACTGGTTCACTTCTGGTCCCAAGCTTGCCAAATACTGTACTGGGTAATTGATCTATACAGATGTACAGTACTACAGTATATGTAAATGCAAGTGATATTTGTTGTGTTACAGGAACGAGAGAGAGAGTTAGAGTCACTACAGCAGTACCGGTGTAGAGGTCAGGGGGTAGCAGACAGCACGTCCACCACAGCTGCATCCTCCCGCTCTGGCTCAGTCTCTGGTCGACACAAGTCTGGACGCAAACGGGGCAGCAGCTCCTCAGGCACCACCACCTCGGGCATTGCCTCGGCTGTTGATGGTATCTCTACTAGTGAGTCGCGTGCTTCACTTGCCTTAGATCCGTAAGTATACTGGGAGTTATGTTTTACATATTTGTTATTTAAATCACATTTGAAAATTCAGTTTATCTGTTTTCTACACTCCTCTCCCTCATTTGTATAGGGTTGATCAAGGGGCATAAAAAGTAAAAAAACTGAAAGATTTGGGTAATTAATAGAGGAAAGGGGTGCAAGATTAGTGTACAAAGCAAATGGAAAGTGCCACACTCAGCAAAGATAACCACATATACTTGCTTAGTTGCTTATACTACCTGTATTTTCAAATTAGTGACAGGAAATGGAATAAAGCTTGACAATACATTGATTCAAAACACTTCATAAATTTGTCTTTGTATATACCTGTAAAGTTAAGTTGTCAGTTAAGTAAGTTTTAATTTTTATTCCCTCACGATAGAATGTTGAAGGTGGGAGCATAGGTTATCAGTTCATTTGTCTGACCAGAACTTTAGTTTCCATTAAGTAACTTCGAGAAATGCTTTCAAATCAAATTGAAATTTGGAGTGCAGCTTCACAATAGGTACATACAGTATAGGTAAAGTTTGAATATCAGCCTTTTCCTTCTTTATTTACCAGTTATGGACCTTGTGATCAGTCAACAGACAGAGAGAATCACTCATCCATAATAGAAGTTAATGCATTTACTGCACTCTATTCTGTTCTGTTAATATTTACACCCATCACATTACATTTACATCCTCATGAATACTAATACAGCACAGTATGCCAAAATCTATACTTATCCCTGTATGTTGTGATTTATCCTGAGGACCTTCAGAACTCCAGCCAATACAGCTATCACAACTTATCCTCAGCATATGTTGCATAAATGTTGCACATTACTACTAAATTGTTTCATTTTCATACACTTTACACACAATATTCGTTGGTTAGGCGAGATTTACAACTGCAGCACTCCACGCTCTGAGAAAACTCTTACCCTGGATATGATGCAAATTCATTCCTGTGGTGTCAGACAGGCAATAGTCCTGTGGTATAACGGTCAACATGTTCCCCTCACAAGTGAGAGGTGCAGGGTTCAGTTCCTGGGCAGGGTAAAACAATGAGCAACTTTGTCTCTGTCTATCCAGCAGTACATGGGAATCTCGTTATACGAGTATTCTTTATACGATAATTCGATGATAAGAGATTATGGAATTTGCACCTTATATTCGCTATACGAACGATATTGTTCGATGATACAAGAAGCGAGTACAGTAACCACTGGGGCTAATTATGCTACAGACTTTTTCCTGTGAAAAGCCATAATTTTGAGCAACATATTACTGTACAGTACTCACTTAGTACTCAAATGTACTACACTAAAGGACTAAAAATTTTATCTCTTGTGCAAACTATGTGATGTTTATACTCAAATTAATTGCTATCTTGTAAGGATTCCAGCAATGCAAGTTATATTGTGCTACGTTTAGTATGTGACATTTTATAAGATAAAAACATTAAACGAAAATTGTGACCAAGTCCCAGGTTGCTGATCTGACTTTCTGCCTCATTTACACACAATTGTAGGGTCTCAATTGTTTCTCTTACCTTAACAACACAACATACATACTTTATATTGTTTCTCACTATTGATCTATTTTATAATTTTTGTGTTTATTTGTTATTATTATTATTATTATTATTATATAATTTTATTTTATATTTATTAATTATTATTATTATTATTATTATTATTATTATTATTATTATTATTATTATTATTATTATTATATTTTTGCCCCCAGGCTCTGATGTGGGTCATTGACTTGTGCTCTGGTGGGCTAATCCCGTAAAAAAAAAAATCACCCTGGCTGGGAGGATGGGGTGAGGTGAGGGCCATTGACAGCTCAAACTATACACTTGAATCAATGTAGTGGCTAAAATAATTTTTGGATTTTTGTCAGTTTAAAGTTAATTATGAAATGGCAATTTTTTTTTAAATTTCAGGAATGAAGGCTAATGGTACCTGAAATATACAAGTGAAGAATTTGTGGTTTCAATCTCTGTTGAAATTATTTGGGTAATTTTTTAATAACTCTTTTATGACAGCTGTCCCATAGAACTACGGATCTATCATCTCTGTTTTTACTATTGTGAAATACTTTGCATTCTCTTACTTCCGTCATGCAAAATCTACCTCTCCCTTCAGAAATTCCACCTACCCGTAACTAAACTTCTTGTCTGTTTTGCCTTGTTCATGAAAATAACAAATTTGGTGGTTGTGTATCCACATATCTTTTGTTTTTTCCCTTTAATTTCAAATGTATTTCCCTATCCTATTTTGTGTGTGAGCATTTAGGCTGGCCATGTATGAGTCAGGTGGCACAATAACCTAGATTGACTACATACTTGTCAAGAAATGAGACAGAAAGCTTGTTTGCCCTGCTGCATACTTTGCTTGTGTGTGACTTGTTGCTTGTCCCTTTCACTATGGGGACACCACTCATGGTATTTCATTGGGCTATTGCCAGACGATTTTATTCAGTGCAGAGGGGACTCCATACACAAGTGGTTAGTAGAGTATCTCCCTTAACCCCTTCACTATGGGGATGCCACTTTGAATATTTTGTGTGGCTAACACCAGACGACTTTATTCATTACAGAGGGGATCCCTTACGCATGTGTTTAAATGGTGCAGGAGTGAAAAATGAAGGAACAGAATGTAATGGAACATATTATGCTGACTTAAGAAGAGTGGAATTGGCCAGCAGCAGTGTGAGGGGTAATGTAGCGAGATGCTGAGGCAAATGCTGATAAAACGTATGGCTTGATGAACAGCCCAGCCAGGCAGGTAGTAACATGTGGTGGAGTGATGAAGAGGACAGAATGATAAAGGAGACAAGAAGATTGTGTAAGGCCTGGAAGATGGGTGGTGACAAGGAGGAGTAACTGGAGGCCAAGTGCAGGGCCAGAAGAGAGGTTTATATGGTAAACAAGATTGAACGGGATGCATTTGTGGATATTACTGAATAGGGCATGCTAGAGGTGGGCTATACAGAATAGCAAGGCAAATAGTGGGTTGAAACAAAGATGTTGGTGATTAGTGTGTGAAAAATGATTGTGGTAATGAGGTTGTTGATACTGTAATGAGAAATTTAGGATGCTTTGAGAAAATACTGTACAGTACTGTACTATGATTGTCTGCTGAATGAAGGGTTTGAATGGAATATGGGCAGCCTATTGTAGGAGCAGCAAAGCCAGTACAGGGACCATGCCCAAGGATTGAAAGAGTGGGGAAAGAAAGCATTTGACAGAATAAAGAATGGTAGTGCTGATGGTGGCTCTGGAATAGCGATAAATGTAATGAAAACATCAGACGATGTTGGTGTAATGATGGGGGACTGAATTTATTAATGCAATTAGAATTGAATGTATTGGTCCAATTGACTGATCAAGCAGTGTGATTGTGAATACAGGATTTATATGGGAAAAGGTGATGCCCTTGAATACAGAAATTACAGGGGCCTGAAGGAGTTGGTTATGAAGTTTATAGAAAGTGATTCAGAAATTAATAAGGAAGAAAAAGAACACAAGCGAAATGCAGTTTGGGTTCATGCTAGGTAGGGGGGACTACAAAGGCAATATTTTTGGCCAGGCCAAAACAAGAGAAATATAAGGGAAGGAGAGAAGGCTGTGCAATACTTTATACTTGAAGACTTAGAGAAGGCATCTGACAGGGTACCACGTTAGGTACCACAGTTGGCAATGAGAAAGTTAGGGGTCAAGGAGTGTCCTGTTTAAGTGGTGGCATTGTATGAGAGTTCAAGAACTGCTGTGAAATTAAATTGCAAAAAGGTGAGGAATTTGAGGTGAAAGTAGGGGTCCATCAAGGGTATCTTGAGCCTCTTCTGTTTCACCATGATGCTAGAGGCACTATTTTAACCTCTGGACTTTGGGCTACCCCCACACACACACACACACACACACACACTACCACCACCACCACACGGGCATATTCAGAAACATTTAAAATAATATAAAAAGCGATTCTAGTCCTACAAACTGGTCAAACATGATATAAACAGGATTGAATATATGTCTACCACAGGTTGACAACACGGGCTAGGAAGAGTCGAGAATGTTAGTAAAGTGGTGTATGTATGACGCAATAGTGCGAGGTAAACAACACTAATTTGTAGGCAGTATGAAGTACAGGACACTTGTTTTAATATGTTATTACTATTTAGACTATTAACTACGGTATCATTATTACTACTCCAGTAATTAATCACATTACTAGACTTATGCTCGGAGGTTGGGGAGTAGAAATACTGTACATGGTACAGTGAGTCAAGACCAAGGATGAGATTCCTACACCTCAAAAGCTGAGAAGCTACTGAGAAGAGACTGGAAGGCTCTCATGTGTGAGTGATTGAAAGATAAATACCTATTTTCCTTTTCTTTTTTTTTATAATGGGAAGTAGCCCACCAGGGCATAGGTCGAATGACCCACAATGGGGCCTAGGGGGTGAAAAAAATGAGAACAGAAAGAAATTAAAAATAGAGAAGAAAAAGGCGATACAGGTACGGTACTCCTCAACTTACGACCTACTCGACTTATGACTACCCGGACATACGACTGCCCTAGTCATACCCAAAAATTTTCAAATTACGTATTTTCGAGTCCCGACGTTAGTGATTGTGCTGTGTACTGACAAAATTTTCGTTTGTAATTCCCTTTAAAATGACTGGCAAGCTTAAAAGTGAGAGTTTTGTGGTGCTGAGAAGAAAAAGAGACACCCATTTTAGATTTTCTATGTATTATTTTCGCATTTTCGACTTACGACCAATTTGACCTACGACCTGGATTTGGGTCCCTAACCCCGTCATAAGTCGGGGACTGCCTGATACTGTGTTAATCTACACCACGAAGATGCTGGAAAACCAGCTTTTTAAAGTGAGACAGATTGTATAAATATGGAAACACAGAAGAAAGCAGAGCATTCCACAGTTTGGCTGTGTGAGGAAAGAAGGAGGAACTATAAGGGTTATTCTAGTGTGAC